CCAAAAAAAAAAAAAAAAAAACAGAACAAAAACTGTAAGCCTCCCTTAATAAGAGAGACCACTGGAGAGGGCAAATACTTGTTTGCAACAAAAAGAAACAGGGATAGGAGCGAGGGTCACAGATTAATAACAAGGCTTCCAAGGGCGGACACCAAGCAGACCCTACCTGTGAAACACAGGATACTGGGCTAGACAGATCTGTGGTCTGACCTAGTGTGGTCACTTGTCATGTTTTTATGCTCTTAAGCAACACTATGACTGACAGTAGTCAATTATCCTCAATGAAAATGAATCCATGAAAAAGAAAGCAATGCAATCTGGCAGACAAAAGATGCCGAAATAAGATTGAAGACCTAGAACATTCATCTTCATGTGATCAGCATATCCATTACCAACTGAAAACCTCAACAGAAAGTTTCCATTTTTCTCAGTCTTGTGTCTACATAGATGGGTACATCCTCAATAGCCACTGCCATTTATGAGTTGAGGGTACTGATTCCTGGCAGGAATTATTGACATCTTCCATCACATCCTTCTCTTCTGTTCCTTATCTCAGCCCCAATGTGGTCCATTTATTAAATGCTCACATTGTAAAGATAAAATTGGCTATGCCATATTAGACAAACACACACACACCAGCACACTATAAATAGCTAATCGCTTTTCCCTCCTGCTGCCTGCAAACAATGAGGAGGGCTACCTGCCTCCTTCATATTAGCTCCATCCTACCACTTGTTCTGAGGAGATGGATCCCAGTAGCCATGACAAGTAGCCTACCATTTTAGGATACAAAATGTGCACATGCTAAAAAGGAAGCAGTCAGAAGTACAAACACAGACAGGCTTACCCGTAGGACGGTGTACAATCCTCACAGCACTATCCGTTTTGTTAACATGTTGCCCTCCTGCTCCTTTGGCCCTGAATGTATCTATATGCAAATCCTTTGGGTTCACTTTAACCTCTACCTAGGGTCAGAGAAAATTAAGCTACTTTCTCCTCATCCTAACAGTTTAAGAAGCCATTTGTGAGATACCAATAATTTAAACATACTTCTGCCCCTAATTTGCTTACCAGCCACTATTATGGGTAACATACATGAATACTGTGACTTGAGGAAATTGAAAAAAAAAAACAACAACCCAACATTTCTATTTTTTTCTTTTTAGTTTGTCCATTTCATACATCTGTAGCACTTTGAGTACAGTCAGTTCTACAATATCCCCAATATAAACAGTTTATCTTGCTTGATCAAGATTCTTAGGGGATGGACTTACAAATAGCTTACTATGAGGCAAAAAACAGCCAGGAATTTACTATGCATCATGTACTCTTCAATAACTGCCTGTATGTTATTGCAGAGTACCTGACCCTCATTCCCACTTTTAATCCACAGTAAATCATTTGCATTTCTTTATGCTTACCTAGCATCAAGGAGGAAGGGAAGAAAAAAAAAAAAAAACATTAAAAAGCTGAAAATGTTACTGTAAGACTACAACAATTGGCAGGTATACCAAGGCAAACGAGATACCAGAAACTACTTTAAATCAGGTTCACTGGTACATGAGTGTTACAGTGAACCTCTAAGTTACAGCTGCTAATGGTCCCAAATCCTACAAACACATGGGATCTAAATCCCATGAGTAGTCCCCTTGATGGAAGCAGATGGGTAAGCAGGATCTTGAACTGCCCTCATGCCACTATTCAGAGCACAGTACCAACATAAGTGTAAATTTTGTCATGTTAGTAATGCATGCAGTTTGCTTGGCAACCTTGAAAGTTTTGGCTGATGTCCCTGCACCAGGTCAGGCAGAGATAAGCAACAAAGCACTTTTAGAAAAAGACATGGAGGGATGCAAAGAGGAGCTGATCAAAGCAACAAGTCTGAAAGATTTCTGAAGTGTTGTTTTGAACAGATATAAAGTAGAACCAGACCAAAAAGGGATTTCAGCAGTGGAGACCTGACCTTATGAGCATCTGGACTAGAGTCTGAGTAGTGTGAATAGAAAGGAAAGGTCCAGCCCTGGAAATGCTTGTAAATAAAGCAGTAGCAAAGGAGTGAGGAAAGTTTGCAGAAAAAGATTAGATCTCTCTGTTGGCTAAGAAGTGGCTGGAGGAGCTCTCAAAAAAGACAAGCCTAAAGCTAATTTAAATTCAGATCATACTGCTCATGATTTAGCAGAAAGCACCAAAGAAAAACAGGAATATTCTGTAGCATTCACAGTCTTGCACCAATACGTTACACCGAACATTTTCCTGGATGTTCTCCATGCATTATTAATTTAGAATAGTTTCACTCAGAATGACTCACTTTTGCGAGAGCTGAGGGCTGGAATGCTTAACAAAATGAACTTCATGTCCTTGATCCACACACTACCTCAGGCAGTAGTTGATGTCGGAAAAATAACTCTGGATGATACAATTAAATTTCTAATGATTCACTTAGGCAGCACAGAGCCAAGATCCACAGCAGGTGAGCATGGGGAATCATTGTTTGTTACTTACAAGACATATTTCAGCCCCAAGAAAACAAAAGCAGTAACTCTGTTGTGGCTTTCAGTATCACATATGTGAATGCCAAGATGGAAGCTCAAGACAACGCTTCAGTTTTGTTCTACACACCTTCTCTGACTGAGGGAGGACAACAACTGACATTGTCCCAGTGTGAATACGCTGCATTCTTGATGACAAGCCAATCTCTGGGATTCGCTGAACCCTGTGAATCCCACCTTCAAACTTCAAATACCTGTAGACGCTGCCTCCTGAAATACAAGCTGTTGCATGATGTAACCCACCTGTAAAAATAAACAACGCATAGTGAGTACACAGAAAAGGCATAGATTAACTTGTTTTGGTGACATAACATAGAAGCTATTACATACCCAGATCAGTCGGAACATAGTTCAGAATTTCAAAGGTCCAGGATTTATGAGCTGCGTAATTCTGGTACATCTCAAATACTTCTTTTGTGAACATCTGGCAAATGTCACCTGAAAAATAGATGAAATATCATATGAAATACAAGTTCATGAAATCTTCCTAAAAAATACTTATTTTTAGATTTAGTAATAACTAAATATGGTAACCAGAGAGAGTGCTCTCTTTAGATAAATGAATAGTCATCTCTTGGAAATACTGTTTTATATTATTAAAACATAAGAGAAACAAAGCCTTGTAAACCTGGAAAGAAGTAGAGAGTAATCTTTACTTGTGATGACTTTGCTGACCTCCAGTTGTTCTGCCAGATATAAGCTCTAATATGACATCACATTCATCATGTTTCTGCTTTGGCACTACAATCTGGAGGAGCTGCAAAGAAAGAAACAGTTTCAGCATACCTTCCTGAACAAATTTACAGCCAGCTTTTGTGGTTGCATCAGTTTCAGCACACATGCCACCTGATCTGTGCATGGGGGTTTGGAGTGAAAATTACCCAATTAATTTTGGAGACCAACATGTTTGGCTGACAAATCTGTTGCACTGATGTATTAGTGAAGGCTAGTGAAAACTTGCTCCCACAATGCTATGCTAAAACCATCAACTCAGCCCCCACTGACCCCACTGTTCAATAAATGTTATACTAACCATGAAACAATTGTAGACAAGACTGATCTTTTCCCGAAGATTCAATGATATCTTAATTATATCAAGTGTCCACAATCTAGATTCACAATACAATGACTTTTGCTGACATTTTTCAGCTTCTCTTATAATTATTTCCATATAGTGGTCATATGTAATTGAACAGAAGAATAAGAGATTGAAAGTCTCAGGAAGATGAAGCCTTTCAAACTGGTCTGTATACTCTTTGCTGACATGAATGACTGTTAGAACACCATACACAGGTATTCATAATATAGTGGCACACTGCCCTAGTTCCTTTTCAGTGTCTCCAGGTCAGAAAACAAAAAATGTAAAAAATAAAGAGCTTTTAACATGCACATGGCAGTACAGAGACTTTCTAATAATAAGCATATCCAGGGGTGTTCAAAAAGAAAGCAGAAGCTAGACCTCTATTTCATTAAATGCAAGTGTTATAACTTACTATTTAAAAAGAAAATACTCGGAACAATAAAACGAAATGGCTATATAAAACATTAAAATGAAGAGTTTTTGACACCTCCGTTTAAAAGACAGTACCTTTTCCTCTAGCTCACCTTCTTATACAAAGTGTCAATTTCTTGATCAATTATTTTCTTCTCTTCAAAGGCAAGTTTTAGTAGTTGTTTCTCATCTTTGTTGTCTAGCTCTAAATTTCAGTGATAGAAATAAATGTTACCCAGTCTTATTTATCTTAAAGCAAATTGTAATACAGCTGTCAAATTATACCTGTTGCAGCAGAAACAGCTTGCACAATCCTATTTAGTGGGTGTGAAATACCAGATAATGGCACAAGAAGAAGAGGATATATTTTACTAGTTAAATGTTCACATTTTAGTGGTATTGGATGTGTTGGAAATAGGGCACAGAACACCTTACCTCTAAGTCTCCAGTTCAAGCCTGACCAACATCAGCGGCAGCCAACAATCTGACAGCTATTCACTGGCGTATGTAAAACAAAGTGGTAATCTGGGTCTAGATCTAGGGACCTACTGCTAAAACTGAGATCTTTAAAGCCCTACTCAACTGCCTCCTTGGCCACGTCCAGATACGCATGGACATTTGGTTCCCCAGGGACAACTAGCCATGGCACACCTTGTGCTGCTCCTAGTTGTCCCCGGGGAATGTGTGTGCTAGCACATGGCAAGTTACCCCAGGTGGGGTAGGAGGGCCTGGGGCAAGCACTGGGCTGGCCCCAGCAGCCTTACCTGGGGTTGAGGGCCTCCCAGGCTGCAGCAGTGGCAATCCTGCTGCACAGAGCCTGGCTGGTGGCCAAGTGCAGCTCAGGCTCCAGCTTCAGGCGACTCTACTTTTTTTCTTTGCAAATTTTTTTTGACCCCTGGATATCCTGGGGATATCCAAAGATCAAAAAAAAAAACCTTCTGCACTGCTCCTTTGCAGTGCAGAGAACAATGGAACGTGTGGTATGTGGCACCTCAGCTGTTTCTGCAGTGCCACATACCACACAGCCACACTTGTCTGTGCACAGTCCTTAAGTCTATAAATGGCTCAGTTTGTGACATTAAAGGTACCCACCCCTACAAGCTCTGCTTCTGAGCATGAGGCACCTCAGTTTGGAAAGGGTTGAGCAGCTTGGCACATACCTCTCTTTGGGGTCCACCTTTCCCGGACCAATTAAAGATGGAAAGAGAGCCAGCATAAGTGTGGGTACCTAGCTTAGCAGTTAGGTTGCTCACTTGGTGGAAAGAAACCTGGGCTTCAGTCCCCCCTCCAAATACTGCGTATGATAGTAAAAGCCTCACTGAAGCGCAGTGGAGGTAGGGCTCCACTGTTTCTTTTACTTTAGCATGAGAAGATGATGTGGGGTCAACACCACATTCTGGCCACCCTTAGCCCCAGGTAGCTCCTGGTACCTATTGGACAGGAAGCTGGGTGGAAGGGAAAACAATGAGTGGAAACCCACCACCCTCACCTAGGATCAATTCAGATCTTTCTAGTCCCCAGCCAATCACCCTTCCAACTAAGCTATATGGCGCTCCTAGTTTATGATAGTCTTTAACTAAAACATGTTTTACATGACTGTTTTAAGTGGTTCCCTGTTCAGCATACTGTGACTCTCATTATGAGGTGCATAACTCTCCTACTGCATTGTACAGTGCTCTGGATTCTCCCTAGCACCTAAAAGTAAGGTGCATCCATGTTAGTCTCCCAGTCTCTTTGTAAATCTAGCCTCTAGTTCAGGGGTAGGCAACTCCCAACGTGTGCACCACAGCATGGCACATGAAGGCATTTTGCTTGGCACACATGCTTCAGGGAGGATGAGAGGGGCCCAATTCTTGTTCTGGTAGTTCAGCCCCTGCGCCTTCCCTGCCATCTGCCTCAGTTTCATAGTTGGTAGGGCTGGAAGGGACCTGAGCAGATTATCAAGTCCAACCCCCTGCCTCGAGGTGTGCGGGCACCCACTTCTGGTAATGAGCTGGACCAGGGTTCTGCGGACTTCGGTGCAGATGCTTTCAGTCTCTTTGCCACCTACTGCTACAAGTAAGTTGTGGGCTGCAGGAGCCTGCCCAGAGGCTAGGCTAGCAGTGGCAGGCAGACTGCAAGTGGCAGGCAGGAAGAAGGCTCCAAGTGGCTTCACCAGGGGCTACAGAGCCCTAGCCTGGCTCACTGCCAGAAGCGGGTTCACGAACACCTCAGGGTGGACAGTGGGGAAGGGCCAGGGCTGCACTGCCGCAACAAGGATCAGACCCCTCACGGCTCCCCCACTGTCCACTCCTGGCATGCCAACATCTTACAAGTTGAGGTTGTGGGTGTTTTTGGCACTCTGCCCAAAAACACTGCCCACCCCTGCTCTAGTTCCTAAATGTTCATGCTAATTAGCACACTTGTTGGCAGCCTTATCAGCAGGGATCCTGGTTTTTGTTGGGTTTTTTGTTTTTTTTAATCAGAGAAAAAAAAAAAAAAAAAAAAAATAAAAAGTTCTCTGACAAAACCCCCAAAATCCATTATTAAAATTAAAAGCCCCTTGCAGCACCCCCTAGCCCTGCTGGTACCCCATACTCTCCCCCACAATGACCTCCCAGCCCTGCTGGTGCCCCTCACTGCCCCCAAAACAGCCCCCCGCCGTACTCGTGTCTCTTGCCCCCACCCACAGCCCCTGCCTCCCAGCCCTGCTGGAGGGGGCCCCCAGCTGCCACAGCTATGGGGCCAGGGACCCAAGTCTGCAGCTCCCTGCCCCCAACAGTAGGCAGCTACAGCAGAAGCAGCATGGAGCTGGCTCCCCCACTGCTGCTGCCTGCTTGGGCAAGGGCAGGGCAGCTCCTAGCTCCCCCCAGGCCTGCCGCCTCCAGCCATGACCCGCAATCCCCCAGCCCCGCCAGAGGAGCTCCCAGCCCCCTGCAAGTCCCACTTACCTCAGGCTACAGCAACAAAGAGTGAAGCTGAGCTGAGCAGAGCTGTGGCTGAGTGACAGCCTCAGGCCTTGCCCTTCCTCCTGCCCCTTCTTGTCCAGGCAGGGCTGGCAGTTTCCCACCCTGTTTGCAAACAGCTCTTGCAGGCTGGAGCTGAACCAGCCTGCAGAGCTGTTTGCAAAAGCAGGGAATCCACGGCTTTCTCTGCTAAAAGGAGAAATCTGGGTTCTCTCTGATAAAAAGGGGAAATCCGTGCTTTTCTCTGTTTTTCCGTAGGAAACAGAAAACTAGGATCCCTGCTTATCAGTAATTCCAAGAACCAAGAGGGCAGGGATACTGAAATACCCTCTCAATGACAATAAAGGAGGCTATGCTCTTACACCAGGGTTTTATTTATTTATTGTTTTTATATATTTTTATTTCTTTCTAAAGATGATGGATCAACAATCAGAGACTAACATCCTCTTGTTTGCCACAGTAAAAGCACTAGCAGTATAAGTTCCTCTACCAATATGCTTCAACCTTGATCTAGAGAAAACACTAAGTCTAAGACTTTAGCATGGCTCAGAAGTACAGTTAAGCTGCGACTAATCCTCCAAACGGGATTATACCACACAAGTTGAAAGAATGGTCCAATGCAGTGGTTCTCAAACCATTTGCTATAGCAGGCCACGCTTGTAGCTCTCAATGTGTTATGTGGGCAGTACCCACAACTTCCTGGGTATCCATTTAACAGGATGTCACATGGACCTCATGCAGCCAATGGGCCACGGGTTGACAACCACTAGTCTAATAAAAGAATGGACAGAGGTCCCTAGCCTAGGATCAAGGAATTCAAGATTCAATTCCTACCTCAGCCAGACTTGATTTTAGTCAAGTCACTTCATCTACTCTGTGTTTCAGTTCCCATCTGTAATTGGGGAAACCTCACAAAGTGTTGCCAGGATAAAATCTACTAAAAATATTAATAATTTAAGACACCATGATGGCCCAAGTTATATCAGCACCTAAACAGATAACATAGTACAGCTATGTGAAGGAGAAAACTATGTACTCCATGATACAGATACAGTATAACTGTGCTCTAAATTACATTAAATTCACTAACTTTTACTGCCCATGTCTTCCTCCATTAATTTCTCTTCTTTCTCTTTTTCCATGTGTAATTTATTGTCTATGCTATAGCTCTATGCTACCATTGCATGGACTTGTTCATACAATTTTTCAGTTTTTGGCCCATTAGAAGGCATACCTTTTTAAAAAAATAAACATTAATATTTTACGTAATATTTTCTAGCTTATCCCACAACAAAAGAAATCTGTTTGAGTCTTCCATGTTTCTTCTCTTCTATTTTATTTTCCCTCTTTCCTCCCTTTACCAGTGGCAAAACTAAAGAAGGGAAAGGAAAGGTTGGAAAATTCAAAAGCTAAAAATTACAATCCCCGCCCCCCCATCTGAGAAAAATAAAATTATGTTGTTGAACCTACATAACCAAAATTCTCACAAAAAATTCGTAGCTTTTTGATCACTTTTATGTTTAATTTGAACCCGTTTCCTCCATTTGTCTCTGTAACATATCTTTTCGTTCTTCCAAATACTCTATTGGCTATCTTTATTTTTTTCCCTTTGCTCCACTTCTTTTCTGTAAATCCTCCTAGTTCTATATCCCATTGTCTCCACTAATTTGCCATCCACCAGTGTATTTGAGTGGCTGATACTCTTCCCTTCCTACTTGGTACGCTGCTTTGCAGGGTCCACTTGCAAGTCTTGAGCAATTACCTAGTTTTACTTTTCTTCTTCCCTCACATTCCTTCCTATTCTTGATTTAAATTGATATTGGTATCATCAGAACTTTTTATTATTTTGTGTTCCTACCCACCTTCCCCCCACACACAAATATATATCTATCCACCTTACCTGTACACATGGATTCTAACTCTTTAACTTCTTTTTCTGCTTTTTGTATTTCTTGAAAAGCAGCTGCAAGTGGAACTAGATCAGCATGTCTTCTGCTAAGGATCCTTTCCTCATGCTCATTCATCGAGCCACTGCTCAACACATGGCTTATTCGCTGGTATTCTCTTACAGCAGTCTCTAGATATTTTTGCACAGCTTCATGCTTCCACATGGCTCTAGAATCCTGATGGTATTTCCTTGCCCAGGCATGATGGGGCAGAGCAGATTTAACTGTATTCAGAAAATAATTGTTCTTCACACTATATCGTTCCATCACCTGACCTATCTCTTTAACAAGAGGAGAAGGAGCATAGCAGTGATGATGATAGGGACAAATTGCTAGCAAGCGTCTAAAAAGCCAAATACCTTGATGAGGTTTCATTTCAGCTTTTACTTTTTCACCACCTGAAATGACAAGTACATACAATATTGGTCACTTTTTTACTGTCTTTTTAAGGTGGAACCTTAACTACAAGACACATTTGTTGATCTGACAGACCTAGACGACAGGTGCAGAAGTAGTAACATGGGGTCAGACCTTACTCTACTTAGGGCACATATACACATGCAAGGAGCCTGCTCGGACACACTGGAAATCCAGCGTGTCAAGAGCAGACTCGATTAATCAAATCTGGAGCACATAAATTGACGCACTCTGGCAGCCTTGCACGTCATGTGCATCAGTGGCGCAGCGCGCCTCTTCACTGAGAAAATGGAGGCAGTGCACTTTGAACTAAAACACGTTTGATGTGCTTTAGTTCAAAGGGCACTACTGCCATTTTTCAGTGCAGAGGTGCACTGCACCGCTGATACAGTGCTCCCAATGCAGCGCCAGGCACTTTAATTAGTGCAGCTCGCTAACTAAAAGCACCCAGCACTGTGTCAGGAGCACATGTAAAAAATGCCCAAAGATGCTTTTTCCAGTCCTATTCCACCCCACCCAAGTCCCTGAAAACCAGTTAAAGCAAAAGGTAGACAGGCCCTCCTCTTGCTTTTTGTGATTTAAAGCTAAGATGGAGGGTTGCAACTTTGGTGCCTAAGCCCACCTAGGAGCTTAATATGCTTACCCCCTTTGGGAAATTACAGCCATTGTTCAGGTTAAAGATCTCTATGGTCTCGTTATATATCTCACATTAAAGAAACTCTAGCAAACATATTTTCAGACCCTACAGGACCTTATCAAGGTGTCTAATCCTCCATCCCATCTTCATATGAATAATTCTTACCCTTACAAATAGCTGTATTGACTTCAGTGGCACTGCTTATGTTAGACAGAATTAATTGAATAAAAGTTTCCAAAGCCTCTGCTAATACTATGAGTCCTTCTGTCTTGAGCAATATTTCTACATCTTTCCTGCACCAAATTAAGAAGAAATAGTCTGCCTTATTTTGAAATCCGCCATTTCTCCAGCTAACCTTTTCAATCCTTTGCCAGGAAAATAATAAACTCTTTTGATCCAAAGTATAGCACTGTGAATCATTTTAAAGCATCTGATCTTATAGTGCGACACATTTAATTTAAGGAAAACAGAAGTGTGTTTTAGGATGATCTGTCCCAAAAAATGCAATTATTTTGTTTTAAGAGAGGAAAACCAAGGTGTTCCTATCTAGCTTGCAAAAGCACTAGGGCCTCCTGAAGAAAGAAAGGAATAAAACCAGAATGCCAGCAAACCAAAAATGTGCACTAAAGCAAATGGAAATTCTGTGGGGTTTCTGCAGCTTCCTATGCATTTTCTCCCAGGTAGTGAGGAGTTGGATTTTATGGAGAAGTGGAAGACATGAGTTTGAAAACCGACATAAACAGCAGCACTAGATAAATGTAACTGTTGCAATGGATGAGAGAAAAATATGATCACTCAGATTATCATCTGTTAATGGTGATAGAAAGAGATACATAGGACTGCACTCCCTCAAGTGACAGGATGACACAGAAGTCCTATTCACACTCCACCTCAGAAGGGGAGAAGAAAGAATCACTCTGCCTGGAATAAGTAACTCTGAGAGGGAAAGTCCTAGTAATTTTTTTTTAATATCAAGTGCACTGCATCTGTCTGCACATACACCAGATAAAACAGGTGTAAAATACTACTACTCAGACTCAGTAACACTTTAAAAGTACTTTGCAGAGATGTGAAAGACAACACCAAGTACAGGACAGGGAAAGTGAGACACTCATTAACACTTCTTGTAAAAAGCACTTCAACAAAGGTAGGGAGAACCATAAGGTTTGTTTTAAATAAGTCTCATGATGTTTATAGCCTCAGCTGGGGATTTCTGGTCTCATGTTCTAATTTGTTAACACATGGAGACAGGAACATTATAACAACAATTAAAGCCTTTCTTTTAATTTTACACAATTCAGATGTTGATATAGAGAATACCACATACATCATAAGATGAACGTTTTAATTTCCTATGATTATAGTTCCTTATGGATCAGAGACAGAACATTTTGTTGACTTTTAGCTCTTCTATTAACATATCACTATAACACTCTATTCTGTAAGTGTTCCTACCATATATGAAAGTTTATTCCTGACAAAGGAACAGACTATTTCAAATCATTTACCAAACTACCAGTTCTGATTGCCACAGGAGCTGAAAGAGGTCCTTTTCACTTCCCCACATTCTCAAGCTATGTATGTCTTCTCCAGCCTGTAGTGTAAACTGCAGCAACCTCTGGACTGCTGTAATGTACACTAGGCTGTGAATAGCTCCCACATGCTACTATGAGGCTCAGGAGTAGACACAGCAAAGCAAACACATTTTCCTCTGACTTAGTTGTGCAGGTGGTAACTTCAGAAGATGCATCTTCACTGTCAAATGGGGTTGCACATACTTAGGACAAGTCCATTTGGACTATAATTTTCTGTAGTGGCTCAAGCAACACATGACAATAACGTAAGGAAACATCCTTAAGACAGTCGAGGCCAGGTTTGACGGTGGCAATGTCAAGCACCTCGTGCTGCCTAGACTAGTTGTCACTTAAGTTATAAGTGTATAGCTACATCCACAGAGTACCACGTAAGCTTATGGCAAGCTAATTGGCCATGTTATTCAACAGTGCTACTGTATGTCAATCAGTCAGTTCTGAGGCTGCTGCGACCACTAGAGCATCTTAAATGCTGTAACAACCCTCCTCTACTCTGCCTGGCATTTGGCTGAGGTTAGTCAAGTTGCTTTGCATCACTCATGAGCCTTTGGGCAGAGTGACCTGGTGGAGGCCATCTCCTCTCCAGGTATGGATGGCCGTTGGCTTGCAGGGAGCTCATCTGCCATTTGACAGGTCTTGTTTTTACTTCCGCTGGGTGTCCACACACCCTCCTCACCCAGGCTAGCTCAGATGGGGGCACCAGTTTAGTCACCAACAACCCAACCATGGAGCAGTCTGTACTGGTTTACAAAATACCAGATAGCAGACCAAGAGAGGCCTGGCCTGACAGATGCTACCGTATTTACTTGATTCTAAAAGGAGACTCCCCCCAGTTTAACAGTTGGAAAAAGCCCCTTGTCCTAGACTCAAGTACAAGGGCAGTGGGGGGCAGATGGCTGCTGTGGCTTAGGCTCTAGCACCTACCCAGGGTTGGGGCCATAGCTGCAGCTGCTGTCTCTTCATTTCCCCCTCGCCCCCAATGCTTCTGCACCCTTCCATCTCCCCCCCTCACAGCCTCTTCTCCCCATCTACCCATCACCCAGAATTTGCTCCCCTGCCTGCACTCCCCCGCACCACCCTTGTTCTGTGCCAGCAATGTCTGTCCACACTGTAGGCTGGCCTATAGCAGCAGTACACACCCTACACAGCCACAGCAGAGGTTGGGATGGGCCATGCTCAGGCTAGAATGGAGTTTGTGGGGCAAAGCAGAGGCTGGGGGGGAGGGTGGGGGGCACAGAGACTAGGCTGGGAAGTGGAGAAGCAGAGGTTTCAGGGAGGCAGGCACAAGCAGGGGGCAAGCTGCTTGACCTCCCCACACCACCTGCAAATTAAAATTAAAATGAATATTTAATTAAAGAATTAAAAGATGACCCTCCATTAATTATATTCTATTCATGACAAATTATAACAAATGTATACATTTTCCATATATAAAATGTAATGATGGGGGGGATCCTCTTAAATGCAGGGTTGTCTTACATTCAAGTCAATATGGTAATTAGTCCCACTAAAGCTATGGTTTAGGAAGTATCCTGCCCAACTCAGTATGGCATGCTTAAGGACCACTGCTGCTGAGCATAGCAAGTTTACCATACAGACATGATAAACCTGAATTAACAGTTTACTGGTGATTACCCTTACCTGACCTCTTTGGAATTAAACACAAACAAGATGCTTTAAGATACAGATCTGCATGGCTCAGACACACCTGGTAAGCACAGGGCCTTACAGTAACTTAAAAAATACAATTGTGCCTCCATTTAAGAGACACTGCCAGAATAAATATGTCCAGAACTTAAGCTATATCAAAACCAAACATTATTAAAACTTATGATAAACATGGGATTTTACTTTAAACAAATAAAACCCTCCTACTGTGTAGCTCAACTATGAGACTTATTTAGACCAAATAAATATGAACCAGGCTGTAAAAAAAAAAACAAAAAAACCAAAAAAAACAGTTGAGATCAACTAGTCTATCTTGTTGTGGGAATTAAACAGACACTTTGTTAAATGGACAAAGTGAGAATTAATTATTTTTTAAAATTTGCCTCACTTCTAATAATCAAAAGGGGCTTTCAGTAGTCCAGAAGGCAATCATTTTTTTTAAATGTATTCTTAACATAGATTCAGCAGAGGCTCACGTATTTCAGTCTAAATAATACTAACTCAAAATGCACCTATCCAAAGCGCTAGGGGGTCTCCAGACAGCTTTAACAGTTCAAACTCAGCAGTATTAAAATTCAGCAGCAGCTCAGCTATTCAGCCACCTACCAAAACCCCTTTCTGTTCTTCCAGCATTATAGAAACACGTTTTAGCAGACTTGTACATGTGGATTATTATTACTTGTAACCCGGAAAGGACTAACAACCAGAGACTCAGCGATCATTTCAGCTTGCTCCTCCTTTTTCCTATTACCCTTTGCTCTTGTTCTTCCTCTTCCCCTTCCTTACAGCAACTCTCTTCATTAGTGCTAACATTTCAGCAGGATATAGTGCGTGTGGGCCCATAGACAGAGCGGAAGCTGCATTTTCCCTACAAAAAGCAAGCCAGGATTTTTAAATGACCTTACCCAGAGAACAGGCGAATGTGCAGCCGCTCTAACGTGAAGCCATCACAGAGAGGAAGGGCACAAGCAAGAACTACCACTCCCAGCAATCCTGCTCAACACTACAACTCCCAGAATGCCACTGGCTGAGTTATGTTAACCCTTACTTACAACTAAGCACAATATACACAATTTATATCAACATTGGTTATATTCACTGTTACCTATAAAAAGGCTCCAGAAAAGATCGCCATTGTGCTAGTTGTTCTAAAGCAAAAGCATTAAGAAAAATAAAGTAACCTTTCCAATTTCTGTGGAATTCATTGTATAGCCAAGCTCAACCACTCAAAAATCATGAATCAGACCCTTGATTTAAAAACCAAAAGGTATACCAAGTTAAAATTTTTATATCTTTTCTCCACAACCATTAGGACTGAGGGTTTAAGCAAAGCTGTACTTTTTTAATAAAGTTGCAAGAGTTGACCGCAGTGTGAAATTTTTCTTTAATTTCTAATCTACAGTATTATGGATTTTTCCCTTTGCAAATCATGAACTGAATAAAATGCAGTCTCATATTATTATTAGATATATGGTCTAAAAACACAGTCTCAAAAGAATTACACTTTTATGTCAAAATATAATTTAAATTATTAAGTTATGTTTTAAAGAAATACTACAATACAAATGGAAACAGCTCATAAAATATGAAGGGACACAAAAGTTTATCAAAACGAATATTAAAACTAATGCATCATACTGTTAAAATGCTGAACTACACAGTATATGTCTGTTTGGAGACACATTTTATTGGTATTTATTAAATGGAACCTGCACATGTTTCTGCAAATTTACTTACATTTTTGTGATAGTAATTTCTAAAGTTTCTCATAAAGCAGCACTGCATTCCTTCATTGCCTGGTTGACTAACTTACTCATTTCTATACTGTATAGGAGAAATATATATTCAAACTTCCTTCCTCCAAATACTTCCATTACCTGAAATTAACTTACGTGCCCATTTGGTGAATAATTTGCACACTATAAATATTTTTAATTAAAACACCTACCAGCGTGACCCTGATTCTTTCAGCCCAATGAGCAGGGAGAGGTAGTTAGCCCTTTTAATCTTAAAACAGGCAGAAGGTAGGATAGATTTGCCCTTTATAGATTAAATCAAAGGTAAGATGGGAATCTACCCTGCTTTCTTTCTTCCCCAGCCCTCATCCATCAGCAGTAATGAACACATTGAAAAATTCAAGCAATTTAGAATATTGATATCAACAGTGTTTGATCAACTAGTTATTTCAAAAGACTTCTGTTCAGACAGTTAGATGGTCAGGGCTACAGCCTCATCATCACTGATCAGCATGCAGATAACACCAGCCTTCTCTTGCTATCTGTTGAAATATGGGGCCTGATTCTGGCCCTGCTGTAGTCCCTGGAAGTGTGCAGGAGCTATAGTGGAAGCAGACTTGGGCTGACAAATAATCCTGTTGCCCCCTTCACTATAGACAGCACAGGAGGAAAGGGGGAAAGTGGTCTTCAGAGGTTCTGGGGAGCTGTTTAGTCTACATGAGATGTCATAAGTTGGAACAAGCCCCAGATTTGTTCTAACTTACATAGGGGCCAGAGGAGCCCAGAATCTAGAAAGCATAAAGGTGTAAGAAAGCTACCTTTGCTCCCTGACTGCTGGGCTATATCTGCTGTATTTTAAGAAATATGGCACAGATTTTATCCGCCTAAACCATGCATGTCATAGAATGTGTCTTAGGCATATATTATTTTAACTCACTAAACTATATTTTCACTGAGACTGAAAAAAATGTAACTTAACTCTTAGAAAGGTAAATGGTGGAAGTACAACCAAGTGGCTGATTAATTGAATTACATAAAACTCATAACCAGATTGTGCACTCAAATTTACAAATGATTAAGCTGATTTAAAAATCAGGAGTTATGCCAAGAAAAAAAAAATCTTGTTCTCTTCAGTGGCAACCAACCTCTGATTAAAAACAACTGCGATTAAATTTTATTCAGCTTGTTTGGAAACAGGAAAAGTAGAATAACTATGGGACGTGCTTTCCTTTTATATGTAAACACATTCCAACTATTATTGTACAGCTAATTAAACGTGGTATAGTCAACTCCACTTTGCACAGCCATACGAGCCCTGTAACTGGAAACAGTTATGTGCTCTGGAAGAAACACATATCTCCCTGTACTCTTAAGTACCTTACAGTGCCAATTAACTAGAGAAGCCTTCTGTTTGTTACTGTCCAAAATAGACACTAAAGGAACAAAATTGTCTCATCATCTAATATTATTCCCTGATCTTGGGATATAGGTTGAAGCTGTGTTGGTCTAAAGCAGTGGGCAAAATGCAGGCCGGGGGCTGGATGCGGCCTGCCAGGCCATTCTATCCAGGCCGCAGGGCCCCTAAAAAATTTAGAAAAGTAATATTTATCTGCCCT